CCCTGCTCCGGCCGAAGCGGCTGAAACATCGCCTCCATCTTCCATGGCATCGGCTCCGGCTGAAACAGCTGGATCCTCGCCAACAGCGTTGATTTGTGGTCTTACTCCTCTTGAGGATGCCCCTGAAAAGGTGACACCCAATAGTCCAACACATAGATGCCTCGGCGATTGTGCACAATGGGCATTGAATCGCCATAATCTCGGATCAGATCTTTCATGGCCTTCGAATAGGCCCGTCCCGCAGGAGTGTTTCTTGGGATCAATTTCCCCGAAGATGGTCCAAGGGCGATGTGGTAGTTCTTGGCGATCTCGGAACCTGAAAGAAGTGGCCGATGCACATCTGCAACTCGGCAATCGATTGGGATCTTGTTGCCAGATTCGTCGTATCCCACCAGCTTCACACTTCCCTGATCTTCGATGGGTTCCGCATTGGCTGCCTTGTAGCTTGCTCCATTGGACTCGCTCCTCGGGTAGTCCTTGGCGAAGTCAAGTGGTACTGCAGTGATGGCAGCACCGGTGTCGATGTTCAACTCTGCTCGTTCCCATTTTCGCCAGTCGTCAGAGGCCCCCAAGCTGTAGACTGCAGCAGGAGCCGATCCAGCTCCACCATCGGGGTCTCCTCTGCCTGGTCGGTCTCGAGGCTCATCAGGCTCTTCGATGTAGACCTCTTCCATTTCATCATCATCTTCATCTGCGTTCACTTCAGTGTTTTCCTTCAGAACCAAGGCTGGTCGGTTCTTCCTCGCCATCTTGCGCGCCACATTGCGGTGGCGATTCTTCTTCACCCTGTACCCAACGCTTCGAACACGCTTGGTCATGGGTTTCTTCTTGGGATCCTTCCGCAGCAACTTGGCCTCGTCGTCCGGGAACTGCCTCAAAGTTTTCCGCTCTTCCATTGAAAAGTCTATCACTGTGCTCTGACCAGCTTTGCCCACAACCACCGTCTCGATGCCCGCATCCAAGTTGTCTTCATCCTCGATTCTCACTATGCCTTCTGGATTTTCTGGGTTGTCAAAGCGTTCATGCCATTCTTTGTCAAGTCGAATCCTTTCAGCCGCACGTGCCTTTTCTCCTCCTCGTCGGTGGACGATTGCACGTCTTCTCAAACGTTCATTTCTCCAGGCCACATTGTGTGCAACACCTTTGGCAATCTCGGCATGGTATCTCGAGTCGTGGAAAGAAGGATCGCTGATGTTCTGCTTTGTGATGTGCGGTGCCTTGACAGATCTAGTCCTCAAAGCCGCTAACATCGCATCTGCCTGGCCATCTCCTGAACCAGGATCTTCTTCTTGGACTTTGCGGATTTGTGAACTCAGCGCAGCCTTCAGCATCTGGACAAGTCGAGAACCTGAAGTCGAAGCTGCCGATGATGCCTTGACAGGTGGTGGTGGCTTCACCTGAGAGCTTTGCTATCCCGGTGGTGGACATGGCGGAGTCTTGGGTGAAGCTACTTGGCTTTGCCATCCTGGTGGTGGTCCTGGTGGAGTCTTGGGCGAGGCTATCGGCTGTTGTGGAGGTGATGCAGGCCATGCTATAGGTGTCGGTGGTGTCTTTGGCAAAGGTGTAGAGCTACGAAGAAGTTCTTCTGGAGTCTGTGGCCCATGCCTCAACCTTCTCCTTGGTGGTGGTGTCATCGAAGTCATTCGAAAGCGTCGGAGTGCTGACTCCGGAGTGACTGGCCCTGATCTGTTTGCTTTGCCTCTCTTTGGTGCTGAGCTCTTTGGACTTCTGCCCCTCTTGGGTCTTCCCTGTGGCGTTCGAGGTGCCTTGGAAGACGCGGACTTGGATGTAGTGGTCTCGTGCTCGGTGACCTCCTCCAGTCGAAGCGACCGAAGGGGTCTTGAGCCACTCGATCCACTCGGTCCATCATAGTCGGGGTCGTCCCACTCTTCAGGCCATGACGCACGTGGGTGAGGCAAAGAAAACCACCTTCTGCGACTTGTCGAGGCTTCCGACTCCTCGGACTCGGGATCGACCTGGAAACTTTCGTCGTCATCCTCGTCATGTGGTGGCCCATCAACACCATAGAGCGTTAAACCATTTGCTGCTTGTTGATCATCGTCGCCATCAGCTGCGTCCCAGTCTTCTGCTTCTGGTTCACCTTGTTCGACATTGTTCACAGATTTGCCTCCTTTGGGCTTCTGCTTGTGCTTTCCGGGGCTGCCTTTGCCCTTGCCCTTGTCCTTATTCTGATTGCTGTTGCCTTTGCCACCCGTCCCCTTATGTTTGGGGCCTCCAGGTGCCCAGCAATCTGCCCGCAGATGTCCTGGGCGTCCGCAGTTGTGACATGTTCTCTTCTCAGCTGTTGCATTTCCCTTTCCAGGTTTTCCTCCAGCTCCCTTCTTGCCCTTACCTTTTCCCTTCGCATCTTTTCCAAAGCTTCCGACATCCTTAGGATCGTCCCCACGGCCATGTGCGTCGTAGGGCTGGCTATTCACCACCTTGATCTTGTTGCCGGTGGCATGTTCCACATAGGACTGGATCTCGGACAGCATGGACTCGAACGTCTTGAAGCGATCTCGATTGAGAACGAGATGACGCTCGAGCTCTGCCGGCACCAATCGTTCAATCACGTTGATCTTGATGTCTTCTGCCAACATCGTTCGGTTGCCAGATGCGTCTTTGCGACGTTCATAAAGTCTGGTGCTGTCAAGAAGCTTCTCCAGGTTGGACGGCAAATCTTCCATCTTGGATCGAGCCGGTGACAAGATTGCATTGAGGAGAGCGCGTTTGCGACCACCAGTGGATGGGTCGTACCTCCGCGTGAGCTTTCTCCAGCTTTCGATGCCGCATTCCCCGGTGTTCAGCACGATGTCAAAGGGCTCACGCTCTGTCAGCATTAGCAGCGCGTCCCAAAGCTCGCGTCTCAATTCACTGATGTTCGACACCTGGTCAATGGCATCTGCTTGACTCCCAAAAGCCTTGTCGATGTCATCTGCAGTGATTGCATGTTCGCAATCTTCGGCCCAAACCAGAATCTCACGAAGGTCTTTGCGAACACTTGCAAGATAGGAGGACGTCTTGATTTTCCATGACAAGAATCTTTCGGCTGTCCCATCAAACTTGTCGGGCTTGCCAAGGCCCTTGTTGTCGACCAACCGGACTTGTTCTTTCGATCTAAGGGCGTCCACAAGCTCCTTTTGTGACTGCACCAACTGTGCCAGTGCACTGCCAGGTCCAGCTGAAGCAGCCGAACCGGCACCAAAAGAAGCGACCTGTGCTGTCAGTTCAGCTTCTCGGCCTCTTAGTCGATTGACCTCGGTCTGTAGTTCCTGGAGCGACTGGAGGACCTGTGCCGCTTGTTGTTGGTCCATTGCTAAGACCCTGGAGCGTATCGCTCCGCTACCATGAACGGAGAATATGCAACTCGCTATTTTAGCAGCGGTGTTCTTGAGCCAAAGGTTGGCGTAGCAACTAGTGAGAACCCTATATCCCGTCACCATGAAACTTCCTTTGATAATATAGCAATATATATATATATATATGTATTTATTCATTTATAATATAAAATAATATAATATAATATAATATAATATGATATGATATGATATAATATGATAATAATATAATATAATTCAATATAATAAAATATAATATAACATAACATAATATAGTATAATAAAATATAATACAATATAAAATAATGATGTCATATAATATAATACAAGTTAATACAAGTTCATAGAATGTCACAAAATACAATATTATTTGATATAATATGATATGACATGATATGATATAATAAAACATAACACAACATAATTTAATATAATGTAATATAGTAGTATATGATAGAATATAATGTAATATAATATAATATAATATAGGATAGGATAATATAATATAGTACAGGGTGATATAATACATATATAGTATGTATATATAATCTATTATCATCTATATATAATCTATAATCCGGCTGAAGTACAATCATTAACTTTCCTGCAAATAGCTGAAATGAGATTATTCCCCTAGACATTCACCATCATTCATGTGACATCACGATGTGAGGTCATGAAAAAAATCATCCAGATATGTGATCCTCTGGTTTGATATACTGTTGTTATACATAGATAATCATAGATATTTATTTTTTTTGCATATGATAAAGCAAAAAATAGAATTGAACTGGAGATATACAGAAAATGTGTGCCACGGTCAAGTTACATGGTGGTTTTTTGATGGTACCGTCCGAAAAATCTGAGAATAGTGAGAATGGGAATCCTCAAGTTTGTTTCATGGCCTGACCATCCCCCTTCAATATGGGCAATTTTCCTATATAAGTTTTGACTATGGCACCTATATATATTACCTGTGTATGATAAAACCACCAAGAATTAGAGATGTAACCGATATAACGGGCTCCTGGTCGCGGAATTCCTGCTTGGAGCATCATACAAATATGAAACCAAGAACCACTGATACAAGTAGGACAAATGGAAACCAAGTGCAACACGTCTCGAAATCACAGGAAAGGATGGGTGCCAGACAACTCAAACTGATTCGCAGCAATCATTCTTACCATCCAAAATTCTGATGGCCTTTGTTTATTTTCCAACAGAAACATCCATGGCCAAAACCCATTGGTACCCCAGAAATGCCGGCGATAGCTGGCCTGATAGCCGTTGACTCCGTTGACTACGCTGACTCCGTTGACTTCACTTTCGGCCTGGGACTGGGATGGTGATGAATTGGGGGGTGTTTATGGCCCGGGATTTGCCTCACCATTGGTCAGTTGAAACTAAAGCCATGGAATCTGTGAGAGAATCCATGGCCAAAAACCCTGGCTGCGAATCGTTTTTGACCCAGACCCGTTTTGCCGTGGCAGGTCTCTTGAATCCTTAGAAACGGGCCAGGGGCGAATTCACTCGCGATCGAGAAGTCACCCGCGAGGGAGAGACATCTTCACCCTCCTGCACAGGTCCGGCGCAAAAATGGAAATATCGAAAGAGAACAGTAACACCACAGAAGTAGTATTCAGTAAGCTTGTGCATATGATCTTCTTCATAATAAAGATGTATAAGTTTAGATTGTACTATCTATACAACAATTCTTTGCACAAATGTCAACAGAGTGTGTGTGTGTGTGTTTGTCTCTGTGTGTATGTTTGAATGTTGTGTGCTTTGAAATGGTCAAGAGAGCGTCCATCACACAACGAGTTTCTGATAGTGTGTCTGATCACAGCACAGGAAGCTCTTTACCCCAAAGGCGCATGACAGACTCAACATGTGTGCTGCAGCAGAAATCCTGTGCCATCCTCAATGTGCGTCTATATACTCTGTAGTACAACTGCGTATGTGCAAGATAATTCATCATGCAATCATATCTCATATACAGAGAAATAAATATGTATACATAGATATTCATTTATAGTACGTCTAGATGTATATTTATTCACCAGATATAGGTACTGTAGATATATGTATATATTCCCAAATATCCAACAGGTGACGATAGTAGATGCTTCAAACCAGCACCTCTGGTGAGCCTTGCTGGACCCCGAAGACCCTGGGTGCCTCGTCCACAGTTCCCAACCTCTCTTCGCGTGAGGTGTTGCGATGGTCCACGTCACGGCAATTCAGCCTTTTTTCCATGGCGCCATGGGTGAAATATGGTGAAATGGGCTCTGAAATCTGGGATTCACTTCACTTTATGGGTAGTTTTATGGCAGTTTTAAATGGTAAACCGTTGGATTTTGGGGGGCCATCTGTCTTGACAAACCCAAATGTCCCCTTCGATGACCCAACGATGACCCAACGATCGCCTCAAAGAATCCCTTCCCGAAACTTGGCTGAAGAAAAGCGGGGTTCCCATACTGGGTCGATCCATATCAAACCAGCGATACACACGCTATGTCATAGATATATATATATATAGAGATAGATAAGATAGATAGATAGATAGATAGATTGATTGATTGATTGATTGATTGATAGATTGATAGATTGATAGATTGATAGATTGATAGATTGATAGATTGATAGATTGATAGATTGATAGATAGATAAATAGATAAATAGATAGATAGATAGATGGATGGATAGATAGATGGATAGATGGATAGATAGATAGAAATATAGCAATATAGATGTATATAGATATATATAGATATATATAGATATATATAGATATATATAGATATATATATATATAGATATATATAGATATATATAGATATATATAGATATATATAGATATATATAGATATATATAGATATATATAGATATATATATAGATATATATATATATAGATATATATAGATATATATAGATATATATAGATATATATAGATATATATAGATATATAGATATATATATATAGATATATATATATAGATATATATATATAGATATATAGATATATATATATAGATATATATATATATAGATATATATATAGATATATATAGATATATATAGATATATATAGATATATAGATATATATATATAGAGAGATATATAGATATATAGATATATAGATATATAGATATTATATAGTGTACCATTTACATCATTTGCAATCAGGAATGAACTGCGCACTGTGTTGATGAGAAGCTTCAGCAGTTCGCGGATGAAAATCCACCATGAAATCGCTGATTCATCAAGAACTGCTTGGAAAAAACTGGAAGAACATGGATCAAAATGGCTCTGTCCAAACTTTGAGAGACGTTCTAGCCATTCTCATCATTCTCATGGTTTCCAATGGTTTCCAATGGTTTCCAATGGTTTCCCATGGTTTCCAATGGTTTCCAATGGTTTCCAATGGTGTCCAATGGTTTCCAATGGTTTCCAATGGTTTCCCATGGTTTCCAATGGTTTCCCATGGTTTCCAATGGTTTCCAATGGTTTCCAATGGTTTCCAATGGTTTCCAATGGTGTCCAATGGTTTCCAATGGTTTCCAATGGTTTCCAATGATCATCAATCATCGAATTTTAGGAATTTTCCATGCTTTTCCCATGAGTTTTAGCCCCTGGCCAGGCCCAAAGCTTATTGCAGGTGGAGATCTCTTTCCGTGTGGCCTGGAACAGCTGGAACAGTGACCAGCGGTCATCACATGTCCAAACATCATGGATATAGAAGTGTCATGTAATGGTCAAGTAATGTTTGGAATATGTTGGAGAATATGTATATATGTATATAATTGATTATAATTGTACTAATATGTATGATATAATATGCGTGTATGTATATTGACCCCCAAGAACTGGGCAATGTGGCAATGTGCCCAACGTTTTGACCACGGCACATTCAGTGTTTACCAGTCGACCTCCTTCGACGCCGCCCGCTTGCTGGGGCTGAGGTCTTCAGGCCTAGGAACGTATGCACGTTTGTAAATGTGTGTATGCATTGTGGACGGTATCGATGTACATACTTGTATAATTCTATTATCATAATTCTACAAGTATGGATTGTCATTATAATCACCATTCTAAATATATATATATATTTGTACATACATTTATTACATTATAATTCATCATCATTCTAAGTCATTCTACATTGATTTTACAATTACCTTGGATGGTCATTGAATCGCCCTAAGCCAAGGACGCTGACACGGATCGCTGAGGAGCATCGTTACTGGAGCCCGTGCCGGCGCTTTGCCTTGGAAAGAAAAACGTTACCGGAAAGCGCCGCCAAGGCGATGGTGGTTGATAATGGTTGTATTCTAATCCCATCAGAAAATGGTTGTGACAATGGTTGTGACAATGGTTGTGATACTGGTTGTGACAATGGTTGTGACAATGGTTGTGATAATGGTTGTGATAATGGTTGTGATAATGGTTGTGACAATGGTTGTGACAATGGTTGTGATAATGGTTGTGATAATGATTGTGACAATGGTTGTGATAATGGTTGTGATAGGGGTGTGATTAATGGGTGTGGACAATGCGTTTGTGATAATGGTTGTGGACTATGGTTGTGATTGGTTGTGATAATGGTTGTGAACAATTGGTTGTGACAATGGTGGTGATAATGGGGTGCATAATGGTTGTGATAATGGTTGTGATAATGGTTGTGATAATGGTTGTGATAATGGTTGTGATAATGGTTGTGATTATGGTTGTGATAATGGTTGTGATAATGGTTGTGATCATGGTTGTGGTAATGGTTGTGATCATGGTTGTGATAATGGTTGTGATAATGGTTGTGATAATGGTTGTGATAATGGTTGTGATAATGGTTGTGATAATGGTTGTGATAGTGGTTGTGATAGTGGTTGTGATAGTGGTTGTGATAGTGGTTGTGATACTGGTTGTGATACTGGTTGTGATAATGGTTGTGATAATGGTTGTGATAATGGTTGTG